TTTACTTTTTTCATCAATGTTATTTAATTGTTTTTAATTTTAATTTTTAACTGTTATTATAAAGGTGATGTGCAAAGGGGTTACAGTTACATAGTCAATGTGTGTATTTCTTTTTGGACAATGTCAACTTTTCCCTCATTCTCTCTCAGTTTTTCCCTCCCAACCTCACTCACAAGTTATATAGTTCATTTTCAGCAGAATGTCTAGTATGTACCACTGTTGCATTTCAGTAGCAGTAGTATTTTAGATTGTTATTTTTGTTTTTGTGGGTGCCAGTACTGGGTGGGGCTTGAACTCAAGGCCTGGGTGCTGTCCCTAAGCTTTTGTGCTTAAGACTAGAGCTCTACCACTTAAGCCACAGCTCCACTTCTGGTTTTTTTTGATGGTTAATTGGAGACAAGAGTATCACAGACTTTCCTGGCTTCAAACTGTGATCTTCAGATCTCAGCCTCCTGAATTGCTAGGATTATAGGTGTGAGGCACTAGTGCCTGGCTGTATTTTAGTTTTTATTACAGAAGTTTATACCTGCTTTGTGGTTTACTCATATAATGTTTTATTTTTGATGCCATTTAAAATTATTTAAACTTTATTTTTGAATTGTTCATTGCATATATAGAAACATATATACACATATGCTTTGTGTTCTTGCTGAATTCATTTTCAAGCTATCATGAATTTTTGATAGACTCCTTAGCTTTTTCTATATTTAGAATCTTATGTGAGCAAAGACAGGTGTCTGTCTTTGTAATTTGTAGACCCTTGCTCCCTCATATCAGGGCTCCCAAAAGGCCTTGGATCCTGGAGACAGTTTGTGGTTCGGAGGGGAGTGAGGCTGCCTGAAATCAGAACACAGCATCTACTGAGCATCTGATAATAAGAACAACCCAGTGGCCATTTTATTAACTGCTATTTGATATTTATTCCATGGTGTATTTGTTACTTTCGCAGCACAGTGACAAAATACTCGACTTAAATAACCTAAGTGAGGAAAGAATTATTTTAGCTCACAGTTTTGAGATTTTAGTCCATAGCCCTTGCTCCATTGATTCTGGTTCCATGGTGAGGCAGAACATCACTGTGATGGGAAATATGGAAGAAGAGGCTGTTCACCTCATGGTGGATGGAAAACAGAACAAGGAAGGCGCTAAGGGACCAGGTATAACCTTCAAAGACAAGTTCCCATTGGCCTACTCCCTTTAACTAGGACTCACCTACTAAAATTTTCAGAATCGCCCCAAAAAGTGTCACCACCTAGGACCAATCATTCAACACATAAGCCTTTGGAGGACATTTCATTTTCAAATCACAGTACATGCATACAACAGATATGAGCTCAAACTCACTGGATGGATCCTATAGATCCTTCTCCCAAGACCATGCCAATTTTCCTTAATTCTCTGTTTTTTTGGGGCAGCTAGATTCTGCTCTCTGTACCCCAGTCTCTGGCTATAATTCTGTTTTACTCAGACCCTCCTCTAGGCCTCCTCCTCTTATATCACCAACAGCAGAGATCGGATATGACATGTTCCCACTTCTAACTCATCTTTCCATCTGTCAATTTTTCCTGTCAATTTTGGCCTGCATCTCACATATTGGTCCTCAGCCCCACCTTTTTCTGTAAAATGCTCAACATCCACCTACCTATGCTGGTACCTTTGCTTGGAACAACCTTCCACAAAAATCTCTAATTGTGTTTGATCACCCCTTCCCCCCAATCCAGTGTGATGGTTTCATACAGGCCACTTGTATTGTTGACCCCTTGATCTGTGTGATTTAGAAGAACCATGACAGTGTGCTCTTGTAAACTCAAGTGTACACAAGGAAGGGGTGCTGGATGTAAGGAGTAAAAATCAAGACATGCAATTCAATCTCAGTTTCAGATAACTGAGAATCATTTTTAGTATAGTATTTAGAACACAATACCTGGGGTCTGTTTTTTTAATGGGAAAATTATGTATTTAACTGAAATGTAACTGGGATGCCTGCATATCATATGGCCAGCCTAGTCCTCAGATCTGTAAGTTTATGGTAGCAGAGCAGCCCTCTGGGAAGGGTGTAGTTTTGTTATGGCTTAGGCTGGGAGAGGGCCTGGAAGCCGGGAATTGGAACTGACCTAAGAGCCCATTTAGTTTAGAGGTCTTCCCCCCCCCCCTCCCCCGTCCCCCCAGCCAACTACATTGACCAGAAAATGGAAAGACATGCCCCAGTTCACACAGCAGGTAGGCTGGAATTCAGGGCCCCCCATTCCCCAGCATGGCTCCCCCTGTGCCAGCAACCCTGTGCTCCAGGCTGCCAGAGCAGCTCAGGTTCCCATTCCCCTGCCCCTGCCCTGCCCTTGGCTGGCTTCAGAGGGGGGTCTGATGACGAAATGTGATCCTGCCATAAAATCTATGCTGAACCAACCTTTCTCACAGCCCACCCGCCCGCCTCAAAGGGGGGTGCCTAATCCCCATTTATGGAGCCCAGCAGCTGGGCCCAGTCTGACTCTTTGAACGTGAGCTTGGGGTACCCTGGGTCAGCTAGGCCTAGGCCAGGGGAACCTGAGAATGAGGACATTTAGGGAAGCTGAGCAAGTCCAGAGCCCAGCCTGGTCATAGGCCACCCAGCCCAAGGAACTTCAGTCAGCACCACAGCACGGAATCAGAGGGGCTGGGGCCGGAGGGTTGATACCTTTCAGAGCATGAGTAAAGCTGGATCCTCTTCCAGAAGCTGGGGAAGGCTGCTGGAGAGCTTGGAGCATAGAGCATGTGGTCATCTTAGGAAGATGTTTGCAGACCCCTTAAAAGGCTTTGGAAGTAATTCAGGTCGACTAATTCCTGTTCTGTATCACAGCAGTGCAAGACAGGCAGAAGCAAAGACACAGCAGGGAGGTCAGGAGGTGGCACCTGGTCTCAGGGACATGCCAGTGCTCTGGTTTGGGTAGGGTGCTGGGCAGAGATGACAATATAGAGGCAAGGGATGTCAGGGAATGTTGGGAGTTGGGGTTGGAGGTATGGCTCAGTTGATAAAATGCTAGCAAATGAGTAAAAAGCAGGAAGTACTGAGTTCAAGTCCTGATGTCAGACCTAAAATAAGAAAAGAAAAGAAGCTGGGCTGCTGTCTTTGGCCTGTAGAGATGCAACAGATAGGAGGTGGCCCTAAGAGAGTTGGGATAGTTGGGATAGAAATTCTGAGGTAGGCATTCTCAGCCTGGGGACTTGAGCCCATCATTACTGAGGGGAGAGGAGAAGAGGGTCCAAGAGCCAGTTCTGAGGATCACTCATATTCAGAGCAGGGCAGGAACAGAAGAGACCCTGCAGGAGACAGCAAAGGTAGCCAGAGAGGTGGCAGGTAACCCAGAGAAGTGACAGGAGCCACCTTAGGATGGGAGGGAAGGAGATAAGGCCAGGAGTTCCGGGCCTCAGTGAAAGGTAAGGGTGTATTTGGGACCTATCCAGCTGCCCAGCTCCCATACCACGTATAGCAGAGAGGGTGTGGGGAGTGGAGACTCAGTATTTGCAGACATGTGTGGGCACACCACAGGGACACATGTGAATAACACATTCTTGGATAAAGCAAATGCAGCAGTGATTGAGACTTATGGTGTACAGCTGCATATATGGGTATATGCACAAACACATTCAGACTTATTCATAGATGCTGAGCTAGGCACAGATACACACAGCTCAACGGACACACACTTGTTAAACATGCATGTGCATGTGGGCTCACATCAGGGCACATTCAAATGCACAAACATTTAAGTATATATACATATATAACTATACACACAATCAGAGCTGTCAGAGCTGGGTTCTGAACCCATGGACTCTACTACTGCCTAGTGTTTCTATAATATCCCCAAGCCAGGGAGTCTCCAAGCCTAGACTTATTGTAAGAGGTTGGAGTCCCTCATCTGAGCAGCCCTACTCGGTTCCCCAGGGGCATCTTCCTGCTCCTGGAATTTCTCACCTCCAGGCCTTTCCAGGTCTTCCAGGCCAGCCAGATCCACTGCGGAAGGCGGGGGGGGGGGGGGGGGGGGGGGGGGGGGGGGAACCCTGGGAACGTCAAGTTTTCGGACGTCTCAGCCTGCGGGAGTCACCCTCGGGCGGGGCGGGGGCTCGGTGTCCTCACCTGTACTTGGCCGGCGGGGGCGCGCACCACAGTGGAGCCAGCGATGGCCAGCGCCGCGGTGCGCGCCTGGCTGGAGACCGCGATCGCCCGCAGTGCGGTGCCTGGCTGGGGGCCTGGGGAGCGGCGGCGGGGAACGGCGATCTCCCGCGCCTCGGTGCGCGCCCGGCTGGGGACGGGAGGGGGGCGGGGTGCAGCGGGCATCGCGATCCGCGACGCGCGGAGCCGCGAGGGGCGGGGCGAGGCGGCGAAATGGCTTTTCCAGATTAGGGGCCGAGCCGCGCTGTTGACACAGTCATAAGTTTTAATGAGAAATGTTGAGTATTTGTGTGGGAGACGCAGCCTCCGTGCGCACAGATGCGGCACTGGCGGCGCGGGGGGCCCGGCCCTCCCCGGGTGGGGGGGCCGCCGCCGCCGCCACCACCGCCACCACGGATTCCTTTCAGGCCGAGGGGAAACGGTGACGCCCGCTCACCTTTGAACTGCCAGGGCCGCTGTTTACCTTGGCCGCCCGGGTGGCAGTTTTACAGATATTAAATACGGACCCGAGGGGGAGCTGAGCGCCTGGTTGCGCGCCCCCGCCCGGGCGGGCCGCGCACTCGGGGCGGCGATGCCTGGGCCTCCGCACTGCGCCGGGGATCGGGGGTCCCGGCTGCAGATGGCATCCGTATTGTGCGTGGGGAGACGCCCGGGCGCTCCCTGGTCACCCACACCCCAGCCGGTTTGTCTCCTAATTCGATTTTCTGGGTCGGGCGGAGCGATGCGGAGGAGGCCCAGGGCTGTCTGCGCGGGACTCAACCAACTCCTTGGCGTGTCTACATCTGGAAAGTTCAGGGCACCGGCCCAGGCGACTCCTCGACGAGGCTCGGGTTGCCAGGCTCCCCTCAAGGGGCAAGGGAGGACCTCAAAGACCCCCGTGGGACCGAGGAGGACTGGGCCTGAGCCCCGGGCTTCAGCCGGCAGTCAGAAGGCTCCCCGCAGAGGCACAAGCCATGTTGATTTTACGGAGAAGGCTGCTCTGCACATTTCACTGCTGATTTATTGGTTTTTAACTAGATCCTTATGCTGGCTAAAAAAGCCATCTTGCACTTTGCAAGGCTCTGTTGACTGCTGCCGAAAATTGACACAGGGGCTCCTCTTGTCTCCCTTTAGTCTCTCCCTAACCTCCCCCCTCCCCTCCGCCCCCCTACTGAAAGGGCCAAGGTGGAGGTGTGATCATGGAGTCCCTTCTCAGGAAGGAGCCTCAGCTGCAGCCTCCGGGGCCCCTGACCACCTGCCGTGTGTACTGGGGTGAGTGTGTTTGTGTGTATAAGAATTTATAGACCTGAAGGGAGGGGCTGGAAGAGGTGCAGGGCCCACATGGATCCTAGCAAATACTGCTCATCCTTCCCCTCAGGCTTCACAGAACTTTTGTAATCTATTGGAGTGAACTTTGGGGTCAGACAAATGTGGATTAACATCCTGATTCTGTCTCTGCTGTGTGATTTGGGGAAGCTGGATAAACTGTCTGATCCCTGATTTGTCATCATTGGAATTCTTCTCTGCCATATAGGGATCTCATGAGATCTGATGTCAGCCCTACTAGGCCAGGGCCCAGCACACAGATTAGATTCCCTTCTGATTGGTCCTCACTAACTCCCGATACAGGAAAACTCCTTAACACAGAGTGTGAGTGACTTCACACTGCCTCCCAGGGGCTACATTGTGTTTCATAATTCAAGTGGAAGATTATAGCCTAATATATACCATAAACTTATAAATTATAAAGTACTTTTAACCCATCAGCTTTTCAAATCCTCATAAAAGTTCTGAGAGAAGACACAGGCAACAACAACAGCAACAAAAAGAGTAGCAAAGTCATGTTACCCAGAGGGGCTTTAGTATAAAAACTGCAATTTGAAGCCAAGATGGTCAAGTTCTAGCCTAGAGCTCGATTTTTGGTGTTTCAGCTGATTCTTATTCAACATTGCTCCTTTTCTGATTTCACAGAAAGAGAAGTTAGACCTTAGGTACATACATAGTATATGCTCAGCTGTGAGGGTCCTCATTTAGGGGACGGGGAAGCTACACAGACACCCACCTGTAGGGAGAGGCCTCTTTGGTCACCCCTGGAAAAGCCACCAGAGAGCAGGGTGGGCACAGTGAAGACAGGTCTGATTGAGACCCATAGAACTCAGAAAGCCAAAGGAGGACGCTGGCTGCATCTGCAGAATCCATCAGCAGCTTGATGGGTCGCCGTTAAACAAAGATGGGATAAGGTTACACGTGTTTTCCGTGGGAGTCGGGTCCGATTTCAGCCTGATGATTTAGTCAGGTGTAAGCATGAAGTTTCCAATTTAGAGAAATAAATCTCCAGTGATTTTATTATCCCCTGTTTTACCCTGACACCCAACTTCACCCCGGCCCCCTGTCAAAGCCCTCATGATGTGTTTATATAGGGCGCACTGTAATTGATTGGCGTGCAATAGAACATGACACAGAAAATGTGGCCTTCCCCACTAGGCCCAACTCTGGGAGCTTCCATATTTCATCATCCCCGAGGCCCAATCAGAGGCCCCCACTTGCTGTGGCCACAAATTCCTGGGATTCTAGATTGTCTGAAAATAGGAGTATGAGGCCAAGGGGTCCAGCTGGGCCCCCCAAGGTGGTCTCAAGGGAGAGAAGGGGCGAAGAACACTTGGGAGAGCCTCCTGCCCTGGGTTGGGCTAGCTGGACTCAGGGCCAATTCAGCCTACTGTGAGAGTAGCCAGATTGAATTATCCACGGCTTGAAGGTTTGGGAATTCTAAAGTTCTAAGCTTCGGACATGGTCAGTTTCAAGTAATTTGCTGTTTCAAGTATCTCTGAATCTGTGTTCCTAGATTTATGAGTCTATAGTAATACCGTGTAATACGTGTGAGGCCATGGACTACTTTAGTAATATTTCGAATGAATATGAATGCAAATATAGACACGGATCTGCATACTGACAGCGATGTCTGAGCCAAGAGTGGCTCCACTGTTAACCACACTTTAAGAGCTTTTAATTGCTCAGCACTGTACAAGGCATGTTCTACAATTCGTTTATTCTCCCAACAACCTAGATAGAAAGAATTGCTATATATAACACCAATGAAGATCAGAGAGGGTAGAAAATACTTGTTGAAGGCTATACAATGGTCTCTCATTCCCCGCCCCCCTTCCCTCCCCCCCCCAAAAAAAAAGCAGCAAGACAAAACTTGGGAAAGCTGGCAGATGTGATAAGAAGCAACCCCCAATCCTCATGAGTGGTTGTCACAAGTTCATCTAATATAGCTCTTAGAGTGTTAGCTCAATTATCATTGACTTAGTCTTCAGCCAGGAGAAGTATTGGGGGTAAGGATTCCTTAAGACCTGGGCTTCAATCAGGATCTGGATTCTCCCTGGTGAGATCTTCTTTCCATTGACATTTCTGATGATAGTTTCTATGTTGTAATGAGCTGTTCAACTTTTCTGTAACTTTTCCTGTAACGATTACTTATTTATTTACCTTTAATTACTCATTTATGCTGGTCCTGGAGCTTGAACTCAGGACTTTGGTGCTGTCCCTGAGCTTTTTTTGCTTAAGACTAGCATTCTGCCATTTGAGCCACAGTTCCATTTGCAGCTTTTTGGTGGTAATTGAAGATAAGAGTCATAGACTTTCCTGCCCAGGCTGGCTTGAGACTGCAATCATCAGATCTTAGCTGTCTGAATAGCTAAGATTATAGGTGTGAGCCACTGGAACCTGGCTTGCATTTATTGTTAAGTAGTTATATAAAGGTGTTTCAACATGTCAATTTATGGGTATAATGCATTGTTCCAATATTTTTGACTTAGTGGCTTTAATTCAGTTCTGTAAGGCTACAGAATAAACATACTTTGGAGATTTCAAAATATAGTAAATCAAATTCTTACTCTTTTGGTCACTAAACATTCATCCATCCAAACACCCCCCTGTCCATCCTCATTTTATCTGCTTGGTCACTCACCAGCTACATATCCATTTATCAACAATGATTCTCCTTTTTTCACATCTCCATCTCTCCATTCACCCATCCTCCATTCAATAGTTTAGCCATTTACCATGCACCCATTCATTCACCCATTTAGATAAGCATGCATTTATTCATTAAGGAACGATAATTCAAATGTACTTGTTAGGCACTCTGTAATGCTCTCAGTAAGTTTGGGACAGAAATGAACCTCAGAAATAGCCATAGAGCTCATTCATCACTAAATGAGAACCATTTAGGAACTGAATCTCAGCAGTTTGTAAATCAGTATTCAGTGTGGAGTCCAGGCTGTAAGTGCAGTCCGGACCCAGAAGACCTTTGAGGGGCTGCTCAGAGTGCTTCTGGTGTAGGATGTTTTCTACTTTACACAATCCTTGCCTCAACTAACATTGAAGTTCTATACTGGGCCTAGTCTTGATTCCATTGATTTGTTTATTTGTTTAACAAACACTTTGTGTGTGTCAGTACTAGGGCTTGAACTCAGGATCTTGTGCTCTTGCTTAGTGTTTTTTGCTCATGGCTAGTGCTCTAAAACTTGAACAATACCTCAAATTCCTGGGTTTTTGCTATTTATTGGCCATTAGAGTCTCTGAAATTTGTCTGCCTAGGCTGGCCTTGAACCATGATCCTTAGATACCAGCTTTTGAGAATAGATAGGATTATGGACTTGAGCCACTTGTACTTGGATATTATCTATAAAGTCTTAGGATATGGTAGTGAATATTGCATACAATATCTTGCCCTTTAAAAGTTTAATTATGTAGGGCAGAAAACACATATTAAACAAACAAAAATGCTTAATATGATTTTGGATAGCTACAGTAATATTTAAGAAAAAAGAGCAGAAGATGATCACTGAACAGGAAGCAAGATGCTGTTTTAGGCAGGATGATCAGGAAGGCTTCTCTGAGAATGTCCACTGGAGAAAGTAGGAGATGGACAGGGGGTCAGGGATGTTGGGAGGCTTAGGGCCTTAGTTGAAATGAGAGGAATGGTACAATAGGAAGCAGGAGCTGAAGATGGCTTGAAAAACCTGCTCAAGAAGTCAACCCTTTGTGGTCTACAGAGGGCATCATTAGGCTTACCTCACCTGTGAGGATGTTTCCCTGATTCATGGTGAAGCCTAGGAAGAGCATGTGATTTGTTTGTACCTCAGAGAGGGCCACGGGTCTCACACCAGAACCAGTATACAACATTGTTCCTGGTGTGCACCTGTCCTCCAGAGTCTCAAGTCTTTGTGGCCTGTGTGGAGAAGTTCCCTTAAATCACCTGTGTTCTTCTGAAGGTGAAGGCATGGTGGGACCATGTTCCTGGAAACTCCTGATTTCTTTGTCTGTCAGAGGAAAATGGTGACCCTCAGAATCCCTAAGAGACTAGAACAGGGTTTTAATGATGGGGGAGTCCAGGAGAGGTTGAAGCTTAAGGCAAAAGTGAGTGCTTTGTCTTTAAGGACAAAGCAAAGAGCTTTCTTCACTGGACAGAAAAACAAGGCTTAGCACTTGTTTGGAGGTGGTCTGGGATCTGGGAGTCCAGGCACCTGGCCTCTAACCCAAGATTCAGTTTCCCTCACAGTAAAAACCAACTAGAGGATTAGATGTTTGTGAATCTTTTGAGTTTAGGACATACTTGATTTGAATCAATATTAAATAAATGAGGATTTCAGCAAAGGTGGCCAGATTAGGTATCACCTCACTGTCCATGATATAGTTCTCCTATCATGGTAGTATCTTTTACCTTCTAGAAACTTGGCAGTCAGACACAGGATCCCCCTGGACTCTAAGCCTCAGGGAATCCATTGTACTGGGGATTGTTTGTATCCAAGGATGGCCCATGGTGAGCCATGCCTCCTGGTATTCATGCATGGCCTTGTGAGGTCCCTACTGACACAGAATTGAGATGGGAATCCTTTAGCCCACAGAATGTCAAGGGCAATGATGTCCTGCTGGCTCTAGCTAGAAAGTGCTCATTTTTAAAGTAATGGATTACTATACACGTTGAAGCTAAAACACCACCGATTTATCTGGGGCTATCAGGCCACGCACCATGTGTCTGGGTTCTCTGCTTGGGCTCTCAAGAGGCTGTGATCTCTTTCCCAGCTTGCTGAGGTTGTTGGCATCCTTAAGTCCTTTGCAGCTACAGAGCTCAAGTCCAAATGCCCAGTAGCACTGTATAAGTGCTTTGCATATATCAACTCATTCAATCCGCACTACTTTAGGAAGTAGGGTTCTGTTGATACATCATGTTACAGATGAGGCAGCCGAGGCTGAGATGTGAAATAAGCCAAAGTCACACAGCTAGGAAGTGGGAGGACCCATCTCTTCCCTGACCTAGTGATCTAATTCTGAGATTCTGGAATTTCAGGGTTCTAGAAATGTTAAGATCCAACCACTGCAGGTTTTAATAGCGGCCGGCTTTGAATTCTCAGATTCCAAGATTCTAGAATTCTCAAATTCCAGTTTGCAAAGCAAAGGTCTCTCATCTGTGGGCAAGAGGAGTAGTACACAGGATGTAAAGGGGAATGATAAGCCTTGAACTCTTAGGCCTGCTTGTCTCTCTGCTCCTGAGTTAAAGAGGCTGCTACACCCTAGAGGCACTCAGTTCATTTTTTTTCTTTCTGACATCCGATATCTCTTCGGAATGGGGAGCCCTGGGTGGTAGGAGAGCAGGAGGGAGACCTTGCCCATAATGCCTGCAGCATCCATAGAAGGGGCCAGAATAAGCAGAGAGGCCTGGACACAGAGTTCCCTGAGAATGATAACATTCCCTGTATCCCGCAGACCCCAAATAAATCCTCGTTGTCCTCTGGTGCTGTAGAAGTCCAAGGAAGAAGAGAGCAATGGTGGGAAAAGGCTATGGTGTGTTTGAAGGACCCATCACCCTGGGTGTTGGGTTTCTGTTGGAGTGGGGGCTACATGGCTGGTGGTCCTTAGGAGAGCTGTCCGCTTCAGACTGCAGAGAAGCTGTTTAGGGCCCGGAAGCAGGGCTGGCCAGTCATGTTGTGTAGGCAAAGATAAGGAGCCCTGCAGGTCAGGGTTGACATGTGGAAGCATTTAGGAGCCTGGGAGAGTGGGCACAGTGGAATGAAATGTCCTGGAGCGCTAGAGGCCCAGAGGTTACCCACTCTACTGGTCTCATTCTACAGATGGCGAAACTTGAGGGAAGGGAGTTGTCTCCACAGTACATTTAGCATAGAGCACAACTATAAAAACTAAAATTGACCTCATCTGAGTCTAACCCCTGTGCTTTAGCTACACTGGCTAGTGACTTTCACTCAAAGTTTTGGGCTCCTGCTCATAATATGTACTCTGGAATGACTTTCTACTCTCTCCCTTGCTTATTGAAGCTTCTATCCTTTAAAGGCCAGCTCTAATGCTGCCTCCTCTGGGATGCCTTGCTTTACCCCCACTCACCTTCATCTCTGACATCCTCTTGCCTTCTCTGAGCCCTGAGAACATTTGATCTCTTCTGTGCTTATCTGCTACTTTCTCCTTCAGGGGATTACGCATGGTTATTATTTTTGTTCAGATACTAGTTTACGAAATGTATATGCAGTCTCTTATTTCTCATGAATCCTTTTGCTAGATAAGGAAATTGATGGTGTGAGAAGAAAAGTGATCAACCTTGAAGTCACATAGCCAGAAAGTTCCAGAGAAGAGCTTCACATCAGAGTGTAACAGGCTCCCATGTCTTCACCGTGGCTCCTGCTTTCCCCTCCCTAGGGGTCACTCATGCTCTGGGATGAGGCTCTTGTTCCTGCTGACTTCCTGGTTTTTGTTTCAGAGAAGGCCATGGCTGTACCAGGCCAGCCCTCCTGCCCTTCACTGCCAGCTGTGTAAGGACAGGGCTTCTGCTTTCCTCACCAACTGGCTTCAAGCTCTGACCCCAAAGTGAAACTTGCTCTTGCACTTCCAGACCTCCAGAACTGTGAGCAATAATCAGTTGTCTTTAATAACCAGTCTGAAGCACTTTGCTATGGCGGCTGGGATGACCTCAGAGAAGATGGTCTGGGACACAGATGAGCTGGGTATATGAGCTACTTCAAGGCTGAGGGGTATGGTAAGTGTTTTTAATGGGCCAGAAGAAGAAGAGATGTCTTTAGGCATTCTGGAGGTGTAAGTGACGGTCCATCAATCTCATCATTGGTTCTACCACTCACGCATCTGCCCATCTCATCAGTCACACACACATCCATTCTATTACTGATGTGTCCCTCCATTCCCTCCACTCATGTATATGTCCTTTGTCACTCTCCCGTCCCTCCGTCTATCACTCTTACATGCATTCATTTATTCAATCATTCATTCAATCACAGATCTCAATCTGTGGTGCCATGGCCTGTACTGGGACATCATGTGTCCAGGTTTAGGAGCAGTGAGGGGTATGTTCACTTGACCAAAATGTGACTCCTGTTTCTGCCATTTTCTGTGTCACTTTGACTACTGATCTCTCTGTGTTCTCCATTTGTCATCTGTGAAGTGGGGAAAACCTGAGCCTGTCTCTTGGGGCTGCTGTGAAGAAAAATAGGACAATCTATGTTACATTTAGTCCAGTTTACCGCAGGGCTTAGGGACACCTACTGCATGATCTCAGCTTTATAGTCACCAATTATTATTAAGAATAAAACTCAGCTGGGAGAGAGCAAGGGAAGGGGTAACATTGTCCAAGAGATGTACTTTTTACCTGACTTATGTAACTGTAACCCCTCTGAACATCATTTTTATAATAACAATAAACATTTTTAAAAAGAACAAACCTGATTCCTATGTCCTTCATAGTCTCTGGAGGGAGGACAGGAACATAAGGAGGTGGTGGATCCCAGAAGTGCATAGGCATGAATGTAGTCAGGATCAGGATTCAGATATTTGGCCACAGCACTGGGATACCCAACGCTGTAATCTCCAGCCCATCTTGGAATACATATAGGAAGAAGTTCATTGGCCCCTGGGAAGTCAGTAAGGATAATAACAGACATTCTGCAGGCTCAGAACCCTCTGGGTCTTTTTGCAAAGTCTCTTTCTTCTTAACAAATTTCTTATTTCAGTTTCCTTACAAGATTGAGAAGTAAAATAGGATTGTCAAAAGTAGGAGTCTGAAGAGGAAAGAGAGGTCTAGGAAGGGGAGCAACTCTCTCAATGTCATGAAAAGTGCAGTAATGATCAGGATATTCACCTCCTGACTCCCAGCCTAGGCTCTTTGGACATGAACATGTGGTTAGGAATGAATTCACAATGGTTGAGGCTGAAAAGGGGACTATCAGGAAGGTCTGTGTAGGGGCAATCTGGGATCAATGAAGACCCCAGTGACTGTGTCTCCTACACACAAGGCATAATGCAGTACAGAATTGGGGGCTACAGAAGGCTCTATACCTTTGCACAGAGGTCTTGGACACACAGGAGAGAGGTGACCGAAAATTCTCATGTGAAGGGAGGAGTGAGGCAATGTCAACTTCCATTTAAGGACATGTGGGCCAGTCACTCAAGGTTTGGATTCCTGCTTTGCTACCTGTCAATAAGCATGTGATATCTCTGACTCAGCTTTCCATACCTGTAACTCTATCTATCTATCTATGTATCTATCTGCAAGTATATAATGGTATGTATAATACATTTTTTGGTAGTACTGGGGCTTGAACTCAGGTCCTGACTTTTGCTAGTTAGGTTCTCTACTACTTGAGCCATGTCCTCACCCCTATTTCCCAGTCTTAAAATGGACACAGTCGCCCTACAACTACTTAGTGCATTTGGGTCATCCAGTGGATTAGATGAGGTAATACATGTTGCATGCCTGTGACAGTGTTCTGAACACTCAAGAAATGTTAGATGTGAGCATGATTTGGTTTCTCCAGGCAAGGAGGGAAGAGAGACTATTTACAATCAGATCCTTCCTCCTTTGCAGAAGTCCACAGCTCAGGGGTCATCTGAGAGGGCAAAGGTAGCTATGCCCATTTCCACATGTGAGTGATGAGGAAGAGGCCAGGCTGTGAGCCCTGGGGTACTGTTGCCTGGCGCTGAAGGAGGCAGCTGCCTCAAAGCCCCGTGCCCAGTTTGTCCCCAGTGATAAATCACGCACCTATTTTTAATGATTATTTAAAGCTCTTGGCTGCATGCCCATCCTGGAGGGCTGTCTCAGCCCTTGTCAGGCTGTGGCAGATGGAAAGGAAGCTAACACATCACTTATCGAGGGTACCTTCCTTCATGCTATTATTTTCATAATAGACTCACTGACAAAATATTGTTCTTGGCCCCAGCCTGGCCCCTCTGTGTGTGTTCAGAGGTAACAAGCTGGCCTGGCCAGAGAACAGCAAGTTTCCAGTCAAGGCGAGGCCTGCACCAGGAATCAGCAGTTCATGGTCCCCCAGGGCAGGACTGGCAGGGTGAGGAGGGAGGGAAATCTTACATGGTTAGGAGCCTGGCTTTGGTGATCTACAGCCTGGGTCCCAGTCCTCTCTATTCAGTACCATGGGAGAGAATTGAGGCAGGGGGTAAGGGGTAGGGGGCAGGAGGCTGTATGTGTTACCAAGGTTCTGTCATTCATTTAGCCAGTGTTTTACACTGAGCGCATGCACTCCAGTGCTAAGCACTGTCTCCTCTCCCTTTCCCTGACCCCCATTGTAGAGCCTGAGGGGATTTGTAGGATCAATTAGGGTAGGGATTGTCCACTTCTGCATTGTGGAGTCTTTGGGTTCCTCAGGAATGAAGCTGACTTGGGAATCAAAGTGGGGTATATAAAGGAGGGAAGATCTGGGCTTCCCACTCCATCACCAGCTCCAACAGTCCTGGCTTTTATTTTGCTTTAACTTTGAGCTTCTCTATAAAATTGTTTTTAAAGAGAGACCTATGCCAGATGTTGGTGGCTCATACCTGTAATCCTAGTTATTAAGGATGCTCAGATCTGAGGATCACGATTCAAAGCCAGCTGGGGCAGGAAAGTCCATGAGACTCTTATCTCCAATAAGCCACCAGAAAACTGGAAGTGGCACTGTGTCTCAAGTGGTAGAGCGCTAGCTTTGAGCTGAAGAGCTGAGGGACAGCACCCAGGCCCAGAGTTCAAGCCCCATGACTGAGAGAAATAGAGACAGAGCCAGAGAGACAGAGAAAAACCTAGTTGGTAAGATGAAAAGTTTGAATATCACTGGTTAACTAATTTCCTTATTGTACAAAGAGGGCAGCTTAGGCTTAGAGAGCAGCTAGACTAGCTCTGGTTATGTAGAAATTGTAGAGTAAGACTCTAGTTCCTAAGTCTAAGTTGTGTGAGAAGTTGGAACTAGTACATAAGACAGAAGAACAGGAGGCACAGGTCTAGAGCAGGCTTGTAGAGGTATCTCAGGTCAGGATACCTCTACAATACCCAGAGGTATTCCCACAGGTGGCTAGCTGATGAGGAATATATGGGACCCTCAGAAGTACATATCCTCATGGGTGTCTTGGTTGCTCTGGTGCCATAACAAAATACTGTAGACCAGTTGGCTTGAACAGTAGAAATGTGGAAACCAGAAGTCTGATCAAGGTGCCCGCTGCTAGCATGGTTGGGTTGTGGTGAGGGCTCTCTTCTTAGCTTGCAGATGGCTATCTTCTTCCCGTGTCCTTATCTGGAGAAGAGAGGCACAGAAGGAGAGAAAGAGGGAGAGGGGAAGAGAGATAAGAGAGAAGAGAGGGCAGAGAAGGAAACTTACCTCATATCTCTTCCTTTTTTTTTTTTTTTTTTGGTAGCAGTATGAGGCGTGAACTTGGGACCTGGGTGCGGTCTCTGAGCTCTTTTTGCTCAAGGTTAGCCCTCTACCACTTAAGCCGTAGCTCCACTTTTGTCTTTTTGTGGTTAGTTAATTGGTGATCAGAGTCTTATAGTTTTTTCCAGCCCAGTCTTCTTTGAACCAGGATCCTAAGATCTCAGCCTCCTAAATAGCTTAGGATTACAGGGGTGAGCCACCATTGCCCAGCTCCTTCCTCTTTTTTTTTTTTTTTTGTGGGTCATGGGGCTTGAACTCTGGGCCTTAGCGTTGTCCCTCAGCTCTTCAGCTCAAGGCTAGCACTCTACCACTTGAACTACAGTGCCATTTCCGGTTTTCTGATGGTTTATTGGAGATAAGAATTTCACAGAGTTTCCTGCCGGGGCTGGCTTTGAACCATGATCCTCAGATCTCAGCCTCCTGAGTAGCTAGGATTTTAGGCTTGAGCCACTGGCACCTGGCTACTTCCTCTTTTATAAAGTGTTAGTTCCAAGAAGGACAAGCTGGGGAGCCTGAGTTCAAGCCTCAATACCTACCTACACATACACACACACACACACACACACACACACACCATGATGATGATGATGATGATAAGTACTTACTACTTACTACTACAGCCTAGCAGTTATAAGACCTTTAGAACTTAATGTGAATGACTAGGACCCTATGTTATGACCTAATGTAATTCTGATTACTTCCCAAAGGACTCTCCTCCAAATGTCCTCACATTGGGACTAGTATTCCAATATGCAAATTTGGGGGGGGGACACAAACTTTCAGTCCCTAGCATGGAAAGGTCAGTTTTTACAGCTCAGTTAATAGGCCATTATGGGCACTGAGCCAAGAGTAAAATCCATGGGAGACCAGTGTCCTGCCTAAAGACAAGTCAGCTTCCTGAAATGCCCCTTGGCCCAAGGGCTAGGAACTACTGAAAAACTGTGCTGGGGTCAGAAGGGGATTGATATAATGACAGAAATAAATAACATGCACAGGTTGGTTTAAAGCAGTAAGATGTATGTCTATTTTTGTTTTTTTCCAATTAAAATATATTTAATATAAAATTTACCATTATAGCGCTGTGTGCGCGGGTGTGCACATGCACTTGTATGCATGTATGCACACATATGCAGGTACTGGAGCTTAAACTCAGGGCCTCTGGCCTTTGCTTGGCTTTTATTTTTTTTTGCTCAAGGCTGGTGCTTTACCATTTGAACCATACCTCCACTTCTGGTTTTTTGCTGGTTAATTGGAAATAAGAGTCTCACAGACTTCTCTGCCAGACCTGGCTTTGAACTGTGATCCTGAGATCTCAACCTCCTATGTAGCTAGGATTACAGGC